GGCTCGGCCATGAGCCGAGCCACCCCAAGGTGGCTAGGCACAGTGTCGGCCACCCCGAGGTGGCCGACAGTGGCCCGAGGTGGCCGACAGTGGCCAGAGGGGGCCGACAATTCTCTTTTTGCAGCCACTGTCCTGAGAGCCTATAAATAGGCCTAGAGATGTTCATTTTCAGGGGTCGAACTTTCAAGAGCCGAAACTCTGCCGGATTGAAGAGTGAACTCGGAGCTTGAAGACCAGAAGACTTGCACCATTCAGATCTGATCCTCGGCGACCATCCACGTCAGAAAAGGCAGGATCTCGAGAGGAAGAAAGAACAGATCTGAGATCTACACGAGGCTACACTCCAGATCTAAGCTTGGTCTTAGATCTCGAGATCCGAGCGATTATTCCCTTGGTGGATTAATCCCTCCCGGCTATTATTCCCTTCGTGGAATAATACCCGCATACTCGTGTAGATCCGACCGGATCTAGATCGCGCGGTGGTCCACGGATTAACCCCGGCGCAGGCAAAGAACCCACCAAAGCGAGCGACCGTAAAACAGGAGCTCGTGATTTGTTCACAGAGGAGAGTTGTAATTTTTCTTTATTTTCTTTGATTTAGTTGTAACCGGATCTATAAAAGACCGGATCTTTGTAACTCGAAAAGTTGTTATTTAAAGATAGCAATGGAATCAATAATGAAGAAAGACACGGTTTTTCCCGCGAACAAAGTGCATGTGGCATATCCACAAGTTGGTGATATTACAGGGGTTTACCCACAATTAACCCTTGAAAACACTTGGCTCACTTGAAATTCCTTGATGGTTACTTATAGATTAAGAAGGTATACCCACAATTAACCCTTAAATTCCTTGAAGCTGAGACCGATCATCCTGAGACTGAACTAAAGCCAGGGATCAATCTTCTTGGCGCCGTTGATGAATTATTTTTTGATACCTATGATAGATTTGAACCTGTCAATGAATCCTCATCTGATAATTGTTTCATATCGACTGTAAGTTTCTTTTATTTTCCTCCTTTTGTTCCTCTCTTTTTTTTTTAACTGGATGTGTGCCTGTGACAATTCCTTGATATCTGCAGAGTTATGATGCTACAACACATTTCGAGTCGACTGTTACCGATGTTCTTGCACTGTATACCAAAATTACTGGAAAGGTAATTAGTGTATTAAGCCTGCATTATTTCCCTTCAGCTTCTTATATTTATCACCAATGAGCAGTCTTATATTCAACTGTTATAGTGGACATAATCTACATTTTGTACCCAGCTGCTATAATCATCCTGGAGATTTTTAATTTATATACTGCAATTTACCACTAAGTGAATGGAGACGTTCATTTTTGCAGACTGTTGAACTTAGCGTGGATCTAAGTGCTGCAAGCGCCGCTGAGGAATGAAGAGACTTATCAAGCATTATTTATGTACCGAGATTTTCATAAGTTTTTGTTTTTCGCCGCTGAGGAATGAAGAGACTTATCAAGCATTATTTATGTACCGAGATTTTCATAAGTTTTTGTTTTTTGTTGTTCTATAAGCTGAATTAGTGTCAGATAATCAGAATGGTCAAAATATGTCTGGAGAATTGAAGAAATTTCTTTTTCTCAGCTTACAGGAAGTTTTTTCCCCCTCTAGTCTTCTTATTTATTTTATTTTTATTTTTCTCCTTTCAGTATTACCCCAGCATTGCGATTAGGGATGTTAAAGGGTGATTTTTATTTAAAGGGTAAATCTGCAATAACTCCTCTCATCTATACTATTGCTAGCAGTCATTACTTGTAAACTATTTTAGTACCGCTTAACATCCATCCCTGAATTCATAAGGAAGAGGGGTGTTAAGAATCTGAGAGAACAATGATTATGAATATTGAATGTTATTTCATACAATGAATCATGGTCCCTTAATATAGGGATGAAGAAAGAATTATACATGGTAATTACAATCAAGGAATGAATCAAGCAAAATCTCCTAAATATATGCAATCTCTCAAATCAAGGCTCAAATCAAGGAGTAAATATTCTAGGCATATGTAGAATATTCTAACACCCCCCCTCAAGCTTATGGAGGCTTGAAGAGCATCCGGAGCTTGGATACGAGGAACCGGAACCTGGCAACCACATGAGGTTTGGTGAACAAGTCGGCTGTCTGAAACTCGGAAGATATGTGTTGTAGCAGAATATGCCCTTGAAGAAAATGTTGACGAACAAAGTGACAATCCACTTCAATATGCTTAGTGCGCTCATGAAAGACATCATTGTGGGCTATTTGGATGGCACTTTTGTTATCACAGTATAAGGGTGTGGCGTCAGTATGGTCAATACCCATATCTTGAAGCAGCCAGCGAAGCCAAACAATTTCGGCAGAAGCATGAGCGAGAGCACGATATTCAGCTTCGGCGCTTGAGCGGGCAACGACAGTCTGTTTCTTGCTTTTCCACGAGATAAGTGAATCGCCAAGGAAAATACAGTACCCTGTCGTGGAACGTCGATCAGTAATATCACCAGCCCAGTCTGAGTCAGAATATCCTTGTAACACAGGACGAGATGTAGAAGAAAGATGCAGGCCCTGGTGTAAGGTCCCTTTGATGTAGCGTATGATACGGAGAACGGCAGCAAAGTGAACAGAACGATGAGCAAATATGAATTGGCTTACAATATGGACATCATGGCTGATGTCTGGTCTAGTGATAGTGAGGTAGTTGAGACTTCCCACAAGTTGCCGATATAATGTGGGATTGGGTAGTGGGGTGCCATCAGAAGGGGAGAGTTTGACATTCATCTCAAGAGGAGTATCGATAGTCTTGTTGTCAGTAAGGCCCGCACGGGATAGAATATCAGAGGCATACTTAACTTGGGAGAGGAAATAGCCTGTAGAGGAGTGAGCAACCTCAATACCAAGGAAGTAACGGAGGACTCCCAGATCTTTCATTTCGAAACACGAACATAGATAAGATTTGAGCCTGGATATACCATTCAGGTCATCCCCCGTGATAACCATATAGTCGACATAAAGTAGTAGGATAACAATGCCATGCGAAGAGGAGCAAGTAAACATTGCTGGGTCATGAGAGCTCTGAGAAAAACCGTGCTGTAGAATAGCTGTGGAGAATTTCTCAAACCAAGCCCGAGGCGCTTGTTTGAGACCATAGAGAGCCCGTCTAAGTTTGCAAACCTGTCCAGGGGAATGAGGAAGCCCAGGGGGAGGTTGCATGTAGACTTCTTCATTTAGATCGCCATGTAGAAAGGCATTCTTAACATCCATCTGATGAATAGTCCAATTGCGGATGGAGGCAACTGAGATAAGAGTGCGAACGGTGGTCATACGAGCGACCGGGGCAAAGGTTTCTTCGTAATCGATTCCATACTCTTGAGTATATCCCCTTGCAACAAGACGAGCTTTGTATCTGTCAATAGACCCATCAGACTTTGTTTTGATTTTGTAAATCCATCTACATCCAACAATGGATTTTCCAGTGGGTAAATCTGTGAGAACCCAAGTTTCTGTTTTCTGAAGAGCAGCAAGTTCCTCAGACATAGCTTTCTGCCATTGAGGATCAGCAGAAGCCTCACGTATGAGGATGGCTCATGGAGAGATAACAAGGCAGAGAGGTAACATTCGTAATCAGAATGCCAGATTGGTGGGTGTCGATCTCGGACTGGGCGCATTAAAGGGCCGTCGGCAGGAGATACAGACTCAGGACAAGACGTAGAGTTGTCAGCAGGTGGACAGACAGTCACAGATGCAGGAGGGAGGTTAGGTGGTGGCATAGGAGTGGTGACAGGATGAGTGGTAGGTGTTATCACAGTGTCAGCTATAGGAGCAGTGACTGATGGCATAGGATCTGACACTGGTGAATTAGGGGACTCTGGGAATGGGTCGACAAGAAGAGAGGTTACAGTATTTGTGAGGGGATCTTTGGACAGGGAGTAATATGGTTTATGCTCCCAGAAAGTAACATGGCGGGAAATACGAAGACGTTTGGCAATCGGGTCGTAACAGCGATACCCTTTGTGTTGAATCCCATACCCTAGGAAGACACACATGACATTTTTGGGAGTGAGTTTTGTTCGTTCTCGTTTTGGGAGTAGCACAAAACAAGTGGATCCAAAAACACGAAGCTCGGAATAATCTGGAGTGGTCCCATATAGACGCTCGAAGGGAGATAAGCCACTGGTGACAACTGAGGGAATGCGATTAATAAGAAAAGCAGACGTGTGGATGGCTTCCCCCCAGAATGTGGAAGGGACGGATGAGGAGACAAGAAGAGTACGAGCTGTTTCAACAAGGTGTCGGTGTTTTCGTTCTGCAACCCCATTTTGTTGAGGGGTGTCTGGACAAGATAGTTAGGGGAGAGTCCCTTGTGATTTTAGGAACTCAAGAAAGTGTTTGGATAAGTATTCTCCCCCGGAGTCAGATCTGAAGACTTTGAAAATGTTATACTTTCTCAAATAAAGTGTTTGGATAACTATTTTAATATTTTTCACTTTGCAATGTTATACTTTCTCAAATAAAGCTTAGTTTCATATCGGTCAAAAATAATATGAAAATTCAAATTATTTTTAAATTATATTTGTTTTTTATCAATTCAAATATCAACATGAAAATTTAAATTGGGTGTATCCCATTTAAACAAACATAAAAAAATAATCGGGATGTAAGAGTTCAAAGAAAAAATGAGCACAAACTGCCAAAAATACTTAATCATGGTATTAAATCACGTGCATTGCACGTGTTTAAAAACTAGTTATAGAATAAAAGCATCACCAAACTAAATTATGGCTATCCTTTTCAAATCTCGATCTTGAAATAAAATTACAACAGAAGGTAGGGTTGCCCATATGGGACTAATTGCTTTGAGGATGGAGGCGATCATGCCATCTAAATTAGCCATCAATCTAATATGAGCATGGTGGGAAACCAATCTAATTAGTTTTAACAACTTTATATTAGTTTTAACAATTTCGAATTCGAATTCGAATTCAAACACCATTCTCTGAATTTTGTGAATTCGAAATTTCGAAAAAAAAACTTTAATGTATTCGAAATATTTAACAAATATTATAGTCTGTTTATTTGATTAATAATATATAGTTTATGAGTATTAAACTACTTAACTAAGATGATACTTTTATTTCGTTAAAGAACTACTTTCATTTTTTTAAGAACTAGTTTTTACACACGTGCAATGCACGTGATTTAATACCATGATTAAGTATTTTTGGCAGTTTGTGCTCATTTTTTTCTTTAAACTCTTACATCCCGATTATTTTTTTATGTTTGTTTAAATGGGATACACCCAAGTTAAATTTTCATGTTGATATTTGAATTGACAAAAAACAAATATAATTTAAAAATAATTTGAAGTTTCATATTATTTTTGACTGATATGAAACTAAGCTTTATTTGAGAAAGTATAGCATTGCAAAGTAAAAAATATTAAAATAGTGTTATACAAGGAAGGTGAATATTTAAAACCAATATAGCAAAATAATTGATTTAAAGTATGTTAAAACGATGCAAAAGAGAATATGAAGTTTATTCCTAATCATTGATAGACTTCATAAAAAAATATAAATTAAAGATTAATGCTAACTCTAGTATACTTTTATATGATAAAAACATCCACATAAGAATATAAAAGTACTGAAAAAAATTCATGAAACTCCCTTCTAAAGATTCCTAATTTCACTCAAAATAATTAAACTATTCTATAAAATATTCATAAAATATTGTTTTTATTTCTTCTATTTTATTTTTTATTGAGTTAAGATCAATCCTTCTTCAGGTTTATCATTTATCATTTCTCGGACAATTCTAGAGTATTGTCTTCATCATCTACATCAATTGTGACGTCAGGCTAATTTTGTATTTTTTATGCTATTATCTTTTCTAGGCTCGTTAATTTTTTATCATCTCATTTAACTTTACAAAGAAGTCAAATGTACTTATGATGTTCAACACAAACTGCTCAAAATATAGACTTTGATTTTTTTCTATTTCAATGAGAATAAATATTAATTTCATATATATAAAATTCTTTGTGTTCCTAATTTATTACTTAAATAAATTAGAAGCTATCTCTTTATTTTCCTCTAAAATGAATTCTTCTGATGTGCATCCAATAAGAATTTCTGTTATTTCAATAATATTACCTTTGCTCTATCCCTGTCATTTTCCATAAAGATCTAAACTAAATACCTGCATTATTCATTACCAATTTCTCTTAGATTATAATATTAATATTTAATTTGAAGAACACAGTATGGAATTTATGAATACTTACTAATTTTTCTTATGTCTTCCATGGAGATTTTTTCTTTGATTAGGATAAAGTTATTAAATTATTTTTTAATGTAACTCATTCAGTGCTTCATTAATAGATATGTCTTATGTTAATGCCAATTCAAGTGATTCATTGACGTTTTCTGAAT